CAAATAGGGTGTTAAGAAAACCGCAGATGGTTAGGAGTTTGATGGTGAGAGCTGGTCCAAAGAGGATATCATTCGGGAGAGATTGCAGGGAGGCGTTGCAAGCTGGTATTGATAAGTTAGCTGATGCTGTTTCTGTCACCTTGGGTCCTAGAGGTTGTTTTTCCTTTTTCTTCAATTGGGTGCTCTTATTTCTGGCTGATTTCATAGAGTTATTATTGCGTTGAATGAGCATAGAATTCGGTATAGGATTACAAGGATTTTGGGAGTTTTAATAACATTGTTAGAGACAATGCTTTTCGTTAATGGGTGTTTAAGGATACATTCTTTTACCTTGCAATGATCAGATACATATCAAGGAATTAAACAGCGGTCTGCTATCGGAATAACAGCCGTTATATAGCGGTAAAGGTACCTTCCAAAACCGTTATTTCACAACCACAATATTCACAATAATCGCAATAATACCCGCTATTGGAGTACTGACCCAGGGTTTGTCTAGATGTCATATAGGCACCTCATGCTTAGTGGTGGTGTGCTCATAATGATTGTTTCTCCTTTTAGTACTAAGCTTTCATGCTCTTTGTGACAAAGATAAGACGTGTGGTATCGTTTCAATTCCATACGATTCACAACCAAATGAAGATGATTTATTTGTTCTTATTGAGTGTCAAACTTATGTTTCATTAATTTGGTGATGGTGCATGCTTAATATGAGTTGCTAATCTATTTTAGGTGAACTGTGCAGGACGAAATGTTGTTCTTTATGAGTCTGAGACACTGAAAGTAGTTAACGATGGTGTAACTATCGCCCGGGCTATAGAGCTTTCTGATGCTATTGAGAATGCAGGAGCAATGCTAATACAAGAGGTCATTCACGGTTGCTATAACTTCCTCCCTAAACTTTTTATTGTTTATTTTGGGAAAAATGATTTGAGATATGTAAGTTTTATGTGCTTCAATGCAGGTTGCAAGTAAAATGAATGATTTGGCTGGTGATGGTACCACCACTGCAATTATTTTAACTCAAGCCATGATCAAGTTTGGATTGTTGGCAGTTTCTTTTGGAGCTAATCCTGTTTCTCTGAAAAGGGGAATGGATAAGACTGAAAGAATTGGTTAAGGAGCTTAAGAAGAAAAGTTTGCCAGTAAAAGGGAAGGAGGAATTAAAAGGTTTTTTTTATTTCCTATTTTTTATTTTTGATTGATGACTTGTAACAAATTTTTTTATATAAAAAATGATGACACAGAACTCTTCTTTTCACAGCCGTGGCTTCGATCTCTGCTGGTAATGATGATTTCATTGGGAACTTGATTGCTGAAGCTATAGAAAAGATTGGCCCTGATGGAGTAATTTCTCGAGTCATCCTCATCAGCTGAAACCTCTGTGATAATTGAAGAAGGAATGAAGGTGTAAAGCTGACTCCTGCATGCCATTCCTTTAGATAGTGTCTAAAAGAAGCCGTTGATTTGTGCATAACATAGCAAATTAGATTTTTGCTAAAATCAAAATTTTCTTTAGGCTCTCTATTGGTTGATGCTTTTACTATTTGGTTGTTGATCTGAAAACAAAGGGAAAAGGGCAAAAAGCAAAAGCACAAACCAGATTAGACTTATTCTCAAGTTAGAAAAGCTAAGGCTTCATTTTAGATTTACATCCAGTTTATTCCTTGTCTCGGAAGGGTCAGTCATGAAAATTTTGGATTAAATACACTGTATCTGGTTAATATTAAAAGATAGTTTCATTTTAGCCATTCTTTCTTCATTTAACTGCATGTAGCAGAATTTTACTTAATAACCTAATTACTTTTTAAACTCGTGACTAAATTTGTTATAGATGATTGAAGAGTTGCATAGTGCTTGGCTTGTTGATTTTTCTAATCCTTGATAAGATTTAATATTTTCCCACTACCGATTGAAAAGGGATATATGTCGCCCCAGTTCATTACTAATCAAGATAAGTCTATAATGGAGTTCGACAATGCCAAAGTCCTTGTAACTGATCAAAAGATATCAACCGTCAAAGAAATTGTTCCATTACTTGACAAGACTATGCAACTGAGTGTCCCTCTGCTAATCTTTGCGGAGGATATCTCAAAGCAAGTGCTGGAAACACTAGTTGCGAACAAAATGCAAGGTTTACTTAATGTTTCTGTTGTCAAATGTCCAGGGTTTGGGGAAGGAAAGAAAGCCCTGTTGCAGGACATTGCCCTTATGACAGGTTAAATTGCTTTCATTTTTTATTTATACAAATCTGCTGATGATCAGCAATGGCTAAAATCAAAATTGTTTGCATGTCTTCTTTATATTGTTCTACTAACTAATAATTAGCTAAAATATTATTATGAGAACCTAGAAGAGTGTTGTGTAAAAGGGTCTGTTTAAGCTCATCTTAGTGCCGTGATGTGTTCTGCATACTACCACTGCCTTTTCATTATTATAATATTGAATTCCCCCTAAATCACCCGGGTGCTTCTTTTCTATTAAAAGCATGAATATCTCTTTTCTCATGCCTGTGAAAACTGTTTTACTCGTGTAGCAGTATGACAATTGTTTCTTCATTCTTACATTTAGTTTTATATGTGGCTAACTGATATCATTTCTACATCATTAGGAGCTGATTTTCTTTCTGGAGATCTCGGTATGACACTCGCTGCTGCAACTTCTGATCAACTTGGTGTTGCACGGAAAGTGACTATAACAAGCAATTCCACAACCATAGTTGCTGATCCTTCTACTAAAGCTGAAATCCAGGCAAGAATAATGCAGATAAAAAAGGATCTAGCTGAAACTGATAATGCATACTTGTCAAGAAAGCTCTCGGAAAGAATGGCTAAACTCTCTGGTGGTGTGGCGGTCATTAAGGTTTGCAACCATGACACAGCATATACTGAGATTGAAAGGCATAACCTAACGGTTTAACCACATCTCGTTCCGCTTCTAAATGGTTAAACAATGCTCATCAAAACTGTAGGTAGGAGCACATACTGAGATGGAACTTGAAGACCATAAACTAAGAATTGAAGATGCAAAGAATGCTGCATTTTCTGCCATGGATGAAGGGATAGTACCGGGTGGTGGTGCAACTTATATACATCTCTCACAGCAGATTCACATAATGAAGGATTCTATGGAAGACTTGGATGAACGGATTGGTGCTGATATTGTAGCAAAAGTATGTGTTTGATTCGAGACTACCTTATATTGGAGTCAACTTTCACTTCATATGTTTCAAAGTCTTTGTCTATTGTTTTCCCTTCATCTTTTTAGTGTTATGCAACAAATGCAGGCACTCCTTGCACCTTCAAAAGTAATTGCAACAGATGCTGGTGTTGATGGAGAAGTTGTGGTGGAGAAGACTAGAAGGTTTGATTGGCGAATCGGGTACAATGCAATGTCCGGAAGATACGAAGACCTTATCGATGCCGGAGTTATAGATTCTTGTCGAGTTTCAAGGTGTGCCCTACAAAGTGCTGTCTCTGTTGCTGGGATAGTTCTAACCACCCAAGCTATAATGGTAGAGAAAACGAAGCAGCCCAAGCCAGCTGTTCCTCTTTTACCAGGAATAGGTCCTTGAAGAAGAAGGAACAGTGATGGATTAAAGCTGAGGAGTACCTGAAGGAGCAAAGCTGCTGTATTTGGGATGATTAAAATCAGCCCGTGAATTGAGTTTGGCTTGATTCTTGGGAACCAAAATGGATTTTATGATGTGAGCCTCAAATACCAGGTATACAAATGCACACGGAATTGTTTCCTTGCAGCAGTACATTGTATCTGTTCACGAATTCCATCCTGGGACGGAACTAGGATTGAACTATGAGACGCAAATTGTTCAACTTTGAAGCAAATAGGGTCTATAAAGTAATCAAACCATAAAAATTAAGAGATTAAGGGTTTGATTTCACAAATTTTAAAATTCGGAGGTCTTAAAAATAATTAAATTAGACAAATTTGAGGTCAAGGTTGATTTCCTTAATTTTAATAATGAAAGTGTCCTAAAAGATAATTACACCAAAAAGTTATGGGAGGGGAAAGTGTTTAATTACAATAGTTTTAGAACTACCAATGGCTTAAGAAGTGATTATACTATCAAAGTTGGTGGGGCCCATCTATAGCATGGTTCTGATTCCATCAGGTGAGGTCTTCCCTATCCCATTCCCTACCTTTCTCGACATCCCCTGCAGCTGCTAGCCCATTTATTTCCTTCTACAAAACTCATTTATTATCTGTTGTTAGAATTGTAGTGAATAGAGCGGTGAATTATTTGTATAGTGTTTATTTATGTTTGTTTAATAAGTTAAATAAATAAATAAATATGGATAAAAGTTTTATATTCTTTTAATAAACGAATAAATAAGGTTAGAGTGTATTCGGTTTGTTTATATTTATGGATAAATTTATTTATTGATTTGTTTATAGTCTCGATTCTCTTTTTTCTTTTGGGTTTTTGTATTTAAAGTATTGGAGAATGTATGGATTAAATTGAACCTAAGATAAAATTTAGAGTTTAAAATAGGAAGCCTAAGGAATTTAAGGATTAGTGATAAAATTTCATCATTTTTTTACTTATAAATAAAAGATTAAAAAGAGTCTTTTTCGTTGAACACTAAATGAACATTAAATAAATATGATCATAATTGAACATCTTCATAAACACTAAACGAATGAATATAACTTTGTTCAAACTCTCTTCATTTATACCTCTAATTATTAAATATATATGTTATTAAATTATTACTAGTTAATTAATCCTCACTTAATTATAAAAATGATTTATTATAAAAAAATAAAATTTTTAAAAGTTAAACTGTCAAAAATAAAATAAAATGAAAAGTTTGAAGAGCTTTTTATCATTAGACCAAAATAATAATAAAAGGAAAAGACGACAGCGGCGATTATATCGTACCCTGACAGATCTCATGGCTCATGCAACCTTTCCCTTCCATCCGTCATCTCCAAGCTTTCATCTTTCTCAAATCTCCAACCGCTTTCAAATTATTATTAACCTAACAAAACGCCATGGATCTGTCCCCTGAAGAGCTTCAATTCCTTGGCATCCCAGACATTCTCAGAGAATCAATTTCAATCCCTCGAAAATCCCCCAAAGCCTTCAACCTCATAACCCTAGTTCTCATCTTCCCTCTCTCTTTCGCCATTTTAGCTCACACCCTTTTCACCCACCCCATCCTAACTCAACTCCAATCCCACCCATTAACCGACCCTTCCCACACCCGCCACGAGTGGACTCTCCTCTTAGCCTTCCAGTTCTTCTACCTCATCTTCCTCTTCGGTTTCTCCCTTCTATCAACCGCCGCCGTCGTTTTCACCGTCGCATCTCTCTACACCTCGAAGGCGGTCCTTTTCTCCTCCACGATCTCCGCCATCCCCAAGGTCTTCAAACGCCTCTTCATAACGTTCGGATGGATCGCTCTCTTGATGTTCGTTTACAACTCCCTGGTGATCGCCTTCCTGTTCATGTTCTTCATCGCCGTTGACACCCAGAACGTCGTTTTATCGTTCTTCGCATTCATTGTGATTCTGATCCTCCTCTTGGGCCTTCACGTTTACATCACCGCGTTGTGGCATTTGGCCAGTGTGGTATCGGTGCTTGAACCCATTTACGGGCTCGCAGCCATGAAGAAGAGCTATGAGTTGTTGAAAGGGAGGGTGAACATGGCTTGCGTTCTGGTGTTCGGGTACTTGGCGATCTGTGCAGTGATCGGCGGTACGTTTGGGACGGTAGTGGTGCATGGAGGGGAACGGTATGGGATGTTTAGGAGGATTTCGGTGGGGGGATTTTTGGTTGGAGTTTTGGTGATTGTGAACCTTGTTGGGTTGTTGGTGCAGAGTGTGTTTTACTATGTTTGTAAGAGTTATCATCATCAGGGGATCGATAAGAGTGCTTTGCATGATCATCTTGGTGGGTATCTTGGGGAGTATGTGCCTCTCAAGAGCAGCATTCAAATGGAGAATTTGGATACTTGATTGTCAAGGAACCCTTTTTTATTCTATGAAATAGTATGTGGGATCTTAAACTCATTACTGCTCTTTCATTCTTTTGCAATAAAAGTTTTAGTATGTATATGTGACTGTCTTTTGATGTTATATATGTATTGAATGGTAGAACTTGTATACTAGACTGCAAAGCATATGTGCCATCTTATTGTTCTTTCATTTCACCTACGTTAACCATGTGTTATACCTAGGGAGATATCTTTTGGAAGCTGCACTAAATCCCCATTAATAAAGTTATTAGGAGACCCCATACCTCCGGAACCATCCTCTGCCGAGATCACTTTCCGAAGTTCATACTCTCTGATCTTTGACATGATATTTGACACCATTAAATATGTTTGAATTCTTTAAATGCTTTCATATTTTGATTAAGAAAGGAAAACTTTTAGAGTACTTATCACTTCAATAACCTAATGTGGTACACTGAGTCTATCTTATAACATATTTAGGATATTAAATATAACTTGAACTTTGAATTTTGAAATGGCACGTACATAATAGTTAGTTGGTTAGGGTTTTTTATACTTTGTAAATGTTATGGTGGCATGATATCATGATGGTCTTATGGGTATAATGTTAAAGGCGGTATGCATAATACGAAAATGAAGTTGTGACCTTTGTCCTAATTGGAGAAATGTTGCATAATAGAAAGACGAAGACTAAGGTTTGGCCAAATAGACTTATAATTATACCTGAAAGTTGTTTCTAAAGTTCACATTGAAGTTTGATAAGTTTTAGAGGCTTGTAAGGGCTTAATTCCATATTAGAGATCAAAACAGTCCACATATTTTTTTGTGCATATTGGTCCACTAAGGACATACGTGCCTAAATCTTCATATAAATGCAATCTTGAGATGATAATTGAGTTTCACATAGAGTTATACATAAATTTGAAGAGTGAGATGCATTTTAAGACTTCAAAGATTATCTAAATAGCTCTTGATGCATTTAAAGTTCGTCCAAATTTAAATTTTGTTATTGCATGTTATAAGATATTCATACTGATTTGATGGTATCGATGACAAATTATTAATAGATTAATTTTATATTGTGCAGATCATTTTAATATTGATATCCATAAATTTATTCATATTTATCACATTTTTGAAGTTTAGAATGGAATCAATACCTTAAATCCCCAACTATTTGAGTCAATTTCTTATAATGTTGAGCCTTATTTTAATATTGATACCCATGAGCCTTGTAACTCAAGCTCTGTTTTTTTCCCTGGTCGATCAACTTTCTTTGCAAAGTCGACCATATAGCTTGTTGTATACATATAGATAGCATTTGATGCAGTGGTTTATATGTTCGTTTAGATGTTGTGACTTAGGGTTGTCAAACGGTTAATTAAGTCATCGACCGAATCGAATTACCATTAATTGAATTAATTAATTTTTTTTCTTTTAACCATTGATTGAACCGAACTCTTTTTTGAAAAATATTAACCGAACTAAATAAAGTTCAGTTATTTCGGTCGGTTAACCGAATTAAACTATTTTTTTAAAATAATTTTTTAATTAGATTATATTAGGATATTTTTTATTTGGGCTAAGATTTAATTAGACATTGATAATTTAATGAATTTAGTGCGGTTAAAAAAAATAATTGGATCTTAATTCTTAATGAGTTTGAGCTTAAAATATAGATTTAATATATATAATATATATAATATTTAATAATTTTATTTAATTCGTTTAAGGAATCGATTTTGAACCAAATTAACCGTTAATCGAATATTATAAAAAAATTAATCGTTGCCAACTGAACTAATATGGTGACAAACTGAATTAATCGAACTAATTCGATTCGATCGATTAATTCGATTATAACCGAATAGTGAACACCCCTATGTGACATTGTATACTCATCCAGTCATTTAATTCGAGTATAGGCGTTATAAGATAGATTTGACTGAGCAAACCAAACTATTGTGTTCGTTGTCTTATTTTCGAATGATCGATTGAACTAACAAAAATATAATTTATTGGGTAATTTAAGAAATACACACATTTTTCTTGAGTAATTTCTTATCTACTATCCTTTGCAATAAAAAATATATTGCATATCCACATTTATGCAAAAAGGAAAATAATTTGTTTTTAGTCACAAAATTTTGTTATACCATACCTATTTGTACTATTAAAATGTCATTGCTGTACCAAGGTCTAATATGTTATCAAAGAAAACATATTGTTGATCTTATTAAAGACGCATTAAAATTCTAAAAGGGATAACTGATGAGTGTTTTATTTTGTTAATATTTTGTCGATAATTACTCCGTGTTATCTCTTTGCTATTGTTAATTTGAGTTGTTTACGTTTAATTTTGTGCAAGACCCTATTTTCTAGAAAACAACAATTAAGGAGTGTGTTCTGTAATTTTTTTTTATTTTCTAGATTTAAGGTTGGACACATGGGCATGACTCCGGGCATGACAATGTCGATATGTCAAAATCTGCAGTCCAATCAACGATAATTTCTAGAAGACAATCCAATAAACGAAATCAAGGAATCAAAGTCGGGCGAACGAAAACTCTATTGGATTTGAGAGTTGTGATTGAATTCAAACATTTTGAATTTATTATTTATTTAATTAAAATTCTAGTTTGCTATTCTTAGGATTTTAAGATTACTATCAATTAGAACTCAAGTATTTGAATATTTTTAGGATTTTATTTTCTTTAGGTATTTTAATCTCATTAAGAATTTTATTTTCTTTAGGTTTTCTCAAACTCTAAATAAATCAGGGTAAAGCTTGATATATGTACTATTTCTTCGCTTTGATTAGCTTTGAGATTTTATAAAAGTTAATTTCTTGTTCTTTTTCATCTCCATTTATTTTCTTTCTTCTACACGTTAAGTATGTTTTCCATCATGTTTGGCTAAACTTCCATTTAGCCAATAGCTAAGTAACGACTTAATTCATTTCATGAGAATTGAAAGAGCGCTCAAGATCTTTAGATTTCTTTCTTGATTTTCGGCAATATTGGATTGACAATCATCCTTTCCTTCAAGCATCTCGACACCATCAATCCAAAGAGAGCACATTGGTTTGATCGATGTTGGAGAGAAGAATTGACTTGTATCAAATTTAACTCCCTCATAACAAACTTAACGACGGTCCGCTAAGGAAAAACAGGATCAGGTTCGATTCCCACCGAGACACCATAATCCAAGCACATGCTTTTCCAGTATGAAAATAGCATTGGCGTTAACTTCGATAGACGACATTAATCCAAAGAAGGGCTAAATTTCAAGTATTTTATTTGGAAAGTTAGTTCATCAGAGAGAAGAGTAAGTTGCAAGGGTTGGACCATGTAGACTGCAACCAGCAAGAATCTAAAGTAAAATTTATTTCAGTGATCGAGACGAATTGAGGCGAAACGAAGCTGGATGCTATCTTCCATCATAATTATTTACTTTTCTTGTTTTTTTTGCTTTATTCAATTTATTTAATTTACTTTTATAAAACCCTTTTTTTATTTTTCTTTTACAGATTTCTTGGTTAAATATCAATTCAAATCGATGTTGGAAATCCCTTAGTCCATGCAGATCAACCATTTCTTCTCTCTACTATGTTTATATTTTATTTATCTGTGAAAAAACTTATTTATTTGACAATTAAGACGCTTGTCAAATTCGCGCAGTTGTTGGGGACTTCGAGAAATTACTGATTAAAATTTGTTTTGACTTATGAGCAGGAAGAATCCAGGGAACTAGTAGATTACGACCCTAAGATCGGAGCAAACACTCGAAAGCTACACTCACGCACACGACGAGAAAGAAAGCAACAATAGCAATCCATATAAAAAACACTCTCTGACGCTGAGACACACCTTGAATTCAATGAAGAACGGTTCTGATAGCTGAACAAACAATCCAAGAACTAGATGTGGCACCTACCGAACACCAATCATTATGCATCGAATTCGCTCAAGGCAAAACACCATTTAAGTTGAAAACTGGTTTAATCCATCTTCTACCTACTTTCCATGGACTGCTCAGTGAAAATCCTCACAAGCACCATACCTAATTTCACATGATTTGCTCTAGCATGAAACTACAGGAAGTATCCGAGGATTAGATTAAACTTCACACTTTCCCTTTTTCCTTACCCGATTTGGTTAAGGATTGGCTATTCTATTTACCTTCTAATTTTGTTAATACTTGGGCTGATATGACTAATTTTTTTATTAACAGGTTTTTCTTTGCGACTAAGATGAGTGAACTGAGAAGAAGCATCTTAGGAGTACAACAAAAATATAGAGAGTCATTATACGACTATTGAGGACGATTCAATAAACTCTACACTGATTCCTCACAACATGGACTATCGGAGCAAACACTGATTCATTTTTTTTTTACAAAGGCATACTTCCTTTAGAGATGAAGATGATTGACACAACTAGTGGATGAGCACTCATCAATATGACTCCGAACAAGATGAGAAATTTGATTTCAACTATGGCCTCTAACTCTAAACAATTTAACTCTTCTAGTGAACCTACTCGATGGGTTCACAAGATAAGTACAATTTCTTTGGAAAATAAAATTGGTAAATTAGCTGATATTGTTCAATCTCTTATTGCAAGCAAAACAAGTACATTTATACTTTGCGGAATATGCACAATACCAAACTATCCCACGAGTTGTTGTCCGATGTTACAAGAAGACTCTGTCGCATAAGTTAATGTAGTTGGAAATTTATTGGAACCTCCATAGAGACCATATAATCCTAACGTAAATACCTACAATCCAGGATGGAGAGACCATTTGAATTTCATCTATGCACAAAATCTGATGCCAAACCAATTGTATCAACCGAAGCCACCTCCATCTCAATCATATCAACCACCGAAATCATCATTAGAGTCCATCATCAAATGGTTGGCACTATCTCAAGAACAATTTTGGAATAGAACTAAAGATCGCTTTCAAGAGCTTAAAAACAAATGGGTCAACTGGATCATACCATTGGATGAATGGAATCACA